TGATAAGCTCACAGAAATCACAACTAAAAAACCAGACACCACAATAGTGTCTTTAATTAAAATATTCTTCTAGAAAAATTTTTCCTTGAAAGGTCACACGTGTTGCAAGCCAATAAACACAGGAGTATTAGCTTTTAATTAATTGTATTTAGAGAGATGTAGGCAATTTCTTAAAAACATCAGCTTTCAAACACCCTTGAATTTGATCACATTAACTTACTCCAAACCTCCCAATTAGTAGCATATTCTTTCAATATGACTGCCCACAGTCCTTATTAGAACCCACTGTCAAGAGTCACAGAAAATAATCTAGGAAAAAAATATATTGATTACTCTGTAAATCATGGTGTCTGCATTTATATCTTGTCATAATTTTGCTCTGTGTGAAAAGGGCAGACTTAGTCCTGAAAGGGAGTTATTTTCTTGCAGGTGGGACCATGCAGGTTCAGTCATTCCCAGATAATCTGGTGAGCATCCTCCAGATCTGCTGCAAGCCAGGGTGTGCTCCTGCTGTCACTCACAGGCCACTGCACCTGATCATGGCCAAGTGCTTGGCACACATCAGAACCCTGCCCTTCAAAGGCCCTTCCAGAACTCACACTCACTGGGGGGCATTGACATTTCACTTGGTATTTGTGCATAAAAGAATTTCCTGACCAGGAGCAATGTTTGGTTTGCTGTTAAACCTGTAGAGGATAAGCCTGGGTATATAATTAATTTTCCTTATACGTTTCTTTCCTTCACTGATTAATTTCTTCAACTGATCTATTTGGAGTACAACATTAATATTGAAAATAGAATTATGAAGCCAGCAAAGGAAAAATATTTTATCTTCTCCTGGCAACACAAGCATGTACTTGTGTCCAACACAGCCATAGATTAGAAGTGAAGTTGAATTGGCATGAAATCTCTGACGTGACATATTTATAATATTAACTGAATTTTATATATTAAGTGCAGAGAAGAAATTTTTTACAAATTACTGATATTTAATGAGAAGCACAGAACGAAAAATAAAGGAGAACATGGAGCTGACAATAGATAAAACATAATAACTTTTTAGATATCTTTTTCTGGTTTTATTGCCATTTAAACCTTTCTCCATTTAGTTTGTTAGTTTTTAGTAACATATGCTATGTTACTGAATTTCCCAGAAGAACAATAAAGAAAAAAAAAAATATTAGGTTTACAGAATTTACAGATTCTGAAAGGTTGAGTTGTGACATAATACTATCCCAAAATTTCTGCTTCTGGAAATCTTGGGGTTCAAACAGTTTTATGGTGTGCAATGACAAACTAATATTTTCAAGGATTTCTGGATTTTATCTTAGGGTTTTTTTTAAAGTATTTGAAGAATCATTCATTCACCATTAAGATAGTCCCATACAAACCTTGACATTTAGTTATTTAGCTGCTCTTTTCTAATAAGACAAAGAAAAAGAGAAGAACCTTTAAAAATGTGATTTTATAATTCCTCAGAGACAAGTTGTTTTCCATAACCTTTGCAAACATTTTATTTTGACAATGAAAAGAAGGAATTATGTGAATTCCTGGTCTGTTGAATGCCTATAAAAAGTTTTCTCTGATCTTAATAAGGCCAGCAAGTTGTCCTTAATGCTGAAGAAAGAGAAGCAGGCAAGTGAAATCATCACCCTTATCTCTTAAAGAGATATCAAGCGTTCTCTTCTTTATGTACTTCATAAAGTGCTCTGATGTAGATAGAATGTAATGTCTGTGTACAGGAATGGGTTTTAATCCTTAGTGAGAATAAAACATGAGTTTGTATTGTGAAACGTAAGCAGCTGCAAATCCACCATTTCCTGAGGCTGCTGTCCCAGAGTGGACTGTGCATAGCACTGTCAGGGCAGGAGAGGGGAACATTGCAGAGGATATGGAATGTTCCTTAACGCTCCTTAATAATCCCTATAGTCTGGACTCAGAGATGTGCATTAAGAGCATCCCAGCTGTGGCTCTTCATGTTTATAACTTAAAAGGACTCAGCTAAATATGTAACTAGGATTAATTCATGCTTTAAATTTTATGACCTTCTGTGCCCAGATGCTCCAAATGAAGATGCTGCTTCATTCACAAATTTATTTTTGCTCTGCAAACAATCAATGGCTGCTTGTTGCAATTATTGAAACCTTACCTTTCCCTCTGGGTTGGCTTTATCCAAGTCACATTTTACTTGTTCCCTTGTTCCACTAGCAAAGCAGGCTGAATACACTTACAATGTACTTGCAATCAAAAAAAAAAAATTAAATATAAATAAAACATTGGTGTATATGTTCACTTGAAATGATCTGAAGAAGGCATTAGTATTTGGCAAAAGCTCAGAAAAATGGAAATGAGTCACGAGCATTGTGCCAAAGCCTCATTTAGGGATATTTGCTCAGTTCTGAGTTGTCTTTTGTTTTCTTATTTTGCAGTGGAGGCTTGACAAGAATATGAGTCCCAGATACCCAAAATGCCAGCTAGAAATCTAAATCCCAGCTAGCAGCATCATTTAGAAAAGAACTAGTACAGGGTACCTAAAGAGGCGTTGCATAATGGCCTTCTGGGAGTTAGCTCCTTAGACACAGCGTCATCGTACGTGGTGCTAGCTGCAGTTTGTGCACAAGCAGAGCTTTGCAGCAAGCTTTTATTGGCAAACAGGTGAGCAAAATGCAGCAGTCAGTGGTTGGACATCTGTTCCAAAGGAACCCAGTCAGAGAGGTCGAGCTCTTACTCCTGTTGGGGAACAATATAAGAAATTTTTTCACATTTGCCCCAGGTCTACAATTTTACTTCAATAAAGAGGGGCTGAGGAAAATATGAATTAGATCCATGTAATCCTCTGGCCACTGTACCGTAAATCCTTATGTTTACTAGCTACAGAATTTAGGAGAGAGTGTCTGAATTATCATCAGCTTAGTGCATTGTGTAATGTATTGAATGAAGGGCCTGACAGGTCAGGTGTATTTGTTGTCAGGAAGGACTTTACACAACTGCAGGGGTTATCTGATCAAGTGTTGTGTGATCCCTTCATGTCAAAAAAGTTTATGTTTTATTTTACTATCCATTGATTTTCTCTAACTCAGAATTATCTGACTAGAGTATTTGGCTGAAAAAGCAAGATTTTTAAAAAGTTATTTGTTTCTTTGGTGAGGAAGATGATATCCCAGGTTTGTGAGAGCTTCATTGGGATTTTGGTGAATTTAGGACCTAAATTGAATAAGAATTCATTTTTCACTGATTAGCAAAGAATCTGCAACATGCAGCTCAGCCCTGTAATTGTGGAGCAATTGTATTCCAGTTGAAATCAATATGGATTCAGCCTAGGCTAAGGACACAGGTTTGGACTGTACATCATGTAACACTAATTCATTTCCAAACCCATGCAGGGATCAGCAAATTCAACGGTTCTTGAGTAATGCAGAAGGGGTGTTAAATCACAAGGTTACAATTGAATCTGTAGTTGACATTGACTGGAATCAAGGACTTTGGCGTGAGCTTGTCAATTTACAGCGGAAATCAAAGTTGCATAGCAGAGGATACCACTGGAATAAGATTGTAATTCTCTGTGCTCCACCTGAACACCAGTGATGAAAGATTAGGAGGAGTGGCAGTGACACTTTGTACTTCACTCCCTGAGCCTAGATCTTGGTATGAATCAGTAAAGCTGCTGGTGTTGTGTTAAACCAACATTTAAGCACAGGTTAACCTTGGGCAGTCAGGGATTGCTGGAACACAAATGTTTGGGATAGTCCTGCTCCCTAGGTTTCAGTTGTGTTGAGTAATGTAATTCCAGGTTTGTGTTGGACCAGGGAATTTCTCCAGTTCCAGGGTTGTTGGGCTGTTATGCTTTGCTGCTATTCTGCTGTGTGTTACACTTGCATCAAATAACTACAACTGCAATCATAGCTGTGCTTTATGAAATGTAGAGAAATTATATAATGTAATACCTTTTTATTGACAATACAATGCTATCTGTTGAAATTCAGTCAGACAGCATCCCAGGTGCTTGACTTCACCCTGCCAGTTTTGTTGCTTCCCAGATTGAGCATCTTGAATACCGTGCTGAGGTGATAAACAGTAGGGTTTTGCTGCTTTAGGATTCAAAGACAACTCCTTTTGCTGTGTTTCCTCATGGAAGCTAAAGTGTATTGAGTGAGTGGTTCTGACAGACAGATGAAAAGACCACTCTGTGAACCTCAGGAAACTCATTCTCAGAAAATGGTGATGCATTTTCTAAAGACCAGCGTTGCTTTCCTGAGCTCTGACCACAGACAGACTTTTCCAGATGACATGTCAAGATGACAGACAGCTTATGGTCTGCCATGCAACTGTTCCAAACACAAATGCAGGTCCCCTCACCAGGGCTCCCAGAATAGGCTTCTCTCAGTGCTGCTCCAGGGGGTTTCTCTTCCATGCCACACAGGTGACCTCGGGTTTCCAGACAGGAGGGCAAGAATTCATCATCACCGCATCACCTGGCCAGTAGATTTCAATGAAACAACTACCCCGAAGCCAGGGGCCTTTTACTGATGTGTCCTTTAGAAAATGTTCTGCAGATACATGAGATAGTGGTGAGCTGTCATGTGGTGACAAGGGGCTGAGCTGTCTAGTAGGATTTGGAGTCCCAGGTCATTTGTTTGCCTGCTATTGGCTTTTTTCTGAGCTTGTGCAAGGTGAGCCAAGGGCACGAGGGATGTGCTGGTCCCTGATGCCAGCCCCTCTTAGCTTAAACACAGCCATCAGTTTGGCTCCCAGGAGGATGGGATTGACAACATCAGGAGCTCCAGCAGGCTGAGGTTGAGCTGGTGTTTTCTTCAGCATTTTCTTCAGCAGGTTTTTCATCTGGATATGTCGCCAGACCTTGAGGTTTTGCACAGGCACAGTTTGAAATCCAAGTGATGTAATGAGTGATCAGCAACTCTGGTCACACAGAGGAAAGGAAGAGGGCCGGATGGGGTAGGAGACTGTGTTTGGACTGATTGTTCTGGTTTCTTCCCCACTAGGACAAAGAAGTGAATCTGGAGCAGGTCCACAGACGCATGAACAGTTTAATTGATGAAGACATAGCCCACAAGCAGATCTCTCCAGCGTCCATCGAGATCTCGGCGCTGGAGATCGGCGGCATGCAGCCCGCTCAGACCCTGGAGCCGGTGCGCGAGTACCAGAACACGCAACTTTCTGTCAGCACCTTTTTACCAGAACAGACAGCTCATGGTGCCAGCAGGACACTGACAGCTGCCTCGGGCAGCAACCTGCCGCTGCCCCTGAGCAGCTCAGCCACCATGCCCTCCATACAGTGCAAACACAGGTCACCCAACGGAGGACTATTCCGGCAGAGCCCCGTCAAAACCCCGATCCCAATGTCATTCCAGTCCGTGCCGGGGGGAGTCATTCCAGAAGCAATGGAGCCCTCACATGGAACATCCATATGACGAGAACAAACAGTAAAAACAACCAGCAGAGATTTTTAATACAAAATTTAAAAGAAAGAAAAAAAAAAAAAAAAAAAAAAAAAAAAANAAAAAAAAAAAAAAAGAAAAAGAAAATGAACTCTTGCATTTTTCTTGTATATACTTGTAAATAATGAAAGAATGAAGTGGGGTAAAAGTGTATTTTGAATATTCCCAATTTTCGAAGTAAGTAAAAAACAAAAAACAAACAAAAATGTATGAATGACTTTGTAAATTTTGTTCTATATGAATAAAAAGGCAAACTACTTGTGGTCGTTCTCAAGTGCCAAAGAAGACCTGTTACTGGGACTGAGGGCCATACTTTTCTTTTTTTCCCATGGATTTCAACACTTATTCCCTTCCAGGTATGGTTTTTTTTTAAGAGCAAAAAATTTATCTCTTTCTTGCTGGAAAAATTCACCATGCTCAGATTTCTCCTTTCCCCAGAACCCTGTTTTATAGCCAAGATGACAATTCACTCGGAGAACTTAGCAGCTGGTATTAGCATAGCAGTAAAAAATGTTTTAAAGGTGAATTATGACTCAAATCCAACAAACAATAAACAGAGAACGCTTTCCTTCTAATAAGGATTTAAACTTCCACACAGTTTCTAAATTTAGGCACAGGATTATTGGATTGTGTTTTTACATGTCTGCTGTGCTGTGTGGCTCTTTTTATTTAACTTTCTGTGTTTTGTTATACATATATATATAATATATATTATATATATTTTGACATATATATTATATATATAAATGTTTTGATGCACAACAGGTTTTAGGTTAAGGGGAAAGCTTTTAAGAAAAACTGCGCAGCTCCTTTTTGTTTCTTGTGTACATGACTGAAAATGGGGAGGAACCAATGGAGTGAGGCAAGGAGGAACTGTAAAGGCAGGAGATAATGGCACTGCAGTGACTGTGCCCTCTGGTGCCATCTCTTTCTTTAAGATTTCATTGAATTTGTTGCATAATGGATGCAGTGTTCCCTGTTGAAATCATATCCCTGAATGACAAGACTATAAGCACAGCTCTGCTTTTTTTCCATTGATTTTGCAAAGAGAAATATTTTAATGGCCATGCCTATAATCATGGTAGGGATGGCTGTACAAAACCTATTTTTTTTTGTCTGTAAAACACAGAGGACAAAGATAGAGCAACACATACAACTTATTTAATGTCTTGTCATGCAAATATTATCAGTGCAATGTCGTATGACAAGAAAAAAACCAAACCAAAATCTAACACATTGTTTCCTTCCCAAACTGAAGTTTGAATGCCAAATATAATTGATCATTGTCCCCCTTCCTACTCATCATGGACCATCACTCTCTTTCGAAATTGGGATAATTGAGTGTCTTCTCAAATGTATCCCTGATACTGGGTGGTAATTTCCCTTTGTAGCTGGATTTCTTCACTTTATTAGAACACTGATATTTGGAAAAGGCTGTAGATCCTGGTGCAGCACAATCACCATCTACACTAGGGTGAAAAATTCTGTTTAAACAGAGGTAAAAATGCATTCACATCCCAGGAAAGTCAGCAGGCAATCTGGGGCAGGTTTTTGGATAAATAAACATTCCATTCGCTGCTCCTAATTTGATTTGCATAATTACACAACACATATATTTATGGGGTGATTAAAGTCCCCACATTTTTACATTTCTACTTTAAGCAGTAGGGAGGAAAAGTCAAACTGTGACATAAAACCAGCCTTATGGAAGAGTATAGTCAGCCTAAGACTTTTTAAATGAGGAATATTGATGATGGGCTTACAGGAGAAGTACTCTTAGAGGTATTAATTTGTCTTTGTTCTCAAGCTGGTTCCTCATGAAGATGGTGCACTTTTGTATGTAGCTTGGCACAAATTGCACTATTTGCTGACTGGATTTATGCTATTTGGAAGTTTGGCCAACAAAAACTTTGGTTTGTTTTTTTTTTTTTTTTAATTTCTTTTTGTTGTCTTGACAAACCTATGGCCACAGGAAAAAAAAAATCTTCCATAAATACATTAATTAGTTTTGGCAGATATAGCTGCACTAAAATCCTATGTACACACAGAAATCTGTAAAGATGCTTTGGAGAAAGAGTGCAAGGATTTGCATTGGAAAAATCTCTCATTTCATGACCAATTTAAGATTTTAGCAGTAGCAGAGGAACGTGCTGCAGAAAAGGTGCAAGGAGGTGCTATGAGGGTGTGATCTCTTGTGGCACACAAACCTGCTGGAGGTTTCCTGAGCTGCTGCTGTGCTGTTATTCACAAACCACGCTGATGACTTGCTGCAGCAATGCCCAGAGCAGGGGCTTGAAACCCTCTTTTACTGAGGCATCTTTGCTTTCATGTTAGATCTTTTTCATATTATAGACTAAAACACTGTAATTTTAACTGGCCTGCATTTGTGGAATAAATTGTGAATACAATATATTTTGGGGATTAACTTTAGCTTTCTTCATGTTTGGTGTTCTCCTCTTGGCTTACTCTTGCTATGTGCTGTAAAGTTTGGAAATGTGGTCTAACCTATAAGTGATGTTAGAGCTCCTTTATTCTCACGCACAGAATATAACTCACTGTTTGAATGCTTTGCAGGACTACATTTATGAGGAGCAGGATCTTGAAGAACCAAACCACACAGCCCTCTTTCAGAAAAGTATTTAAGCACGTGTGAGCCCTGTAGGGAGCACCTGCTTTAAGCACAGGTGAATTGCATTGCTGATTGATGGTGGAGTTAAAACACAGGTCTCAAATTAAAGATGTGCCTAATTTTAAGCAGGTGAGTGAGCTGGCCAAACTCCCTGGGACTACTCAGCTGCTTTAAGTTAACCTTAAATTTTGAGTGCTTTGCTGCACCAGGGTCTACACTGCAAAACTAGGACTCTGCAATGGATCTCTCACTGTCTAGTGATTATTTCTTTATATAAAAGCAAGTCATAGCTTGAGCCTGTCAGCCCTGACAGGAAGCTGTTGAATCCTTCATGTGCTAGTGGTTTGGTTTTAGCTTATTTAAGCAAATCACCAGGTTCTCCTTGAACATAAACAATGTTTCTTTCCCCATAACTTTCACTTTTCAAAGTAAATGCAGAATGTATGATTTTCATATCCTGTCTCCTGTTTTATATTTGTATCTTCCTTTTGACAGATCAAAGCATTCACTTGCTATATAATATGTATTCACCACACACATGCGTATATATATACATGTGCAATTACTCACAGAAGAAGTGAGAAATATAATTTCCATGTGATGCAAATGAGCATAAGGTGAAAGCTCTCACAGAGCTTATTTACACCACCTGCAGGTTTGACCCTTCACCTTTAATATCTGGCAAGCTGAAGTAGAAAAACTGCAGAAGTTTCTGAAAACTTTGAAGACCAAATTGTGCTCTGGTTTTTCAACTGGAACTTCCCCGAGTGTACTTAAAATAGGGAATAATGTGTGATCCCAAATATTCCAACTCCTCTGGAATGTTTACATTGCTAAGGTGATTGAACATGAGATGTACCTTCCTTTTATTGTGCTCTTTTGATTATGAGCTTTCACAAAAGTGACATCTGTGGCACAGCACTTCTAGTGTATCTTGTTCTACCAACCCATTAGTTTAGAAATTACTTTTTTGCAAAAATGTGACTCAATTTCTTCTATTTGCTTGCAATCCATTGGCAATCTGCTTTCAATCTGAAGAATGCATTGCTCTTATTTCTTAGTATGTCATGTTTTCCTGTTGCAAGGGGGAAAAAAAGAGTAATTGTGCTTTTTAATTTCATAATTGATAGAATGTTTTTATGCTGAGTTACAACTACATGTGTGCAATACTTGTCTTGCAAAGTGAAGTTCCCAATATCTGCCTTGCTTTGATAACCATTGCTGCATTGTAGGTGAAGTCTCAGCAAAAACAACTCACTCCTTCTCAGTCTGCTGATAGAATAAACCACTTAAACCTGGGTTCTCACCTGTGTAAATCAGCTTCCCTCCAGGGAATGGGTCAAGCATACTGAGTTTTAGCAGGTGAAGGTTTAGCTCTTAATATTGGGCTCAAGAGCACTCCTTTCTATAAATTGGGGTAGCTCTGAAAAGGAAAATGTCTCAAAAATTAACCTGAAAGAGGAACTTTATTAGAATTTTCAGCATGTAACACGGATTACAGTTTAAACTTTATGCTGGGATTGCTTAAAGAAAGAAAATTCTTCCTCAAATCTGTTTAAATTTTGGAATAACTCTCTTCTGAGCTTAAAGCTGTTGGGTTGGTAACAAGTAGAGCATTCAGAGGAAATCATGTTAGTGGGGTGGTACAGAAACCACTATTCAGACTGTGTTATTTTATTTTATTTTGCTTTACTGATTTGAACTTACATTGTGAGCAGCTAAAGAGTGGCATAAATCTAAACACAACACATTTGGGAGACCCGGTTGGAAATTTCTCAGAGAAACCACATCCTTTGGCATCATCCTGGGAAAGGCAAGGAGAAAGTCAGAAGAAAGCTCTGAAGAAAGGCAAAATTAAAGGTAAAATCTGAAATGTGGCGAAGGGGGAGGGAGAGAAAAGGATGGGTACAACTCATGTTTAGTAAAGCTGTATTACTTGTATGAGAAGCCTCAATTCCATCATACAAGCAGTTGCCTCAGCTAATTATTATTTTTCTTAATTTTTAGGAAACAAATAAAAACAGCATTTGTTCTACCAGAAACAGTTGTTATATTATTTAAGAGTTGAAATGATTTGTTTGGCGGTGCCTGTTTTTTGGCTTGATTGTTGCTCAGCTGGGGAGAATGAGCTTTAATCAGTGATTTCACCCACAGCAGCTGTGGGCTGTTTGCTGGGAGACACTCCCAAGGCTGCAGCTGGGACAAATCACCTCAATCAGCTCCAATCAATCAGCTCCCCAGAAAGCTCTCACTTCTCGGGCTGTGGGGCAGAGTTTGGGCTTTGTGCTCTGAGCTGCACATCTCTGCCTTCCTGGAGATGGATGCTGCTTTCTTTTGGTGTTGGAGGGGAGCAGAACAGCAACGTGTGTTCTCCAAGATTGCAAGGTAGCCAACAAGAGAAGCAAGTAGTGCATAAAGCTTTAGCTTTTTACTGAGTTTTGATTTATCCCAAGTTTACTGTCAGCCTTAGAAGGGACTTTTTTTTTTTTCCCCTTCTTTTTCCGTTGTACACTTTCAGGTGTCCTACCTCAAGTGTTTTCTTTTGTCCCTACTGAAATTGATAGCTTTCTTTGCAACCAATTAATGCTGGTAGAAACTTCACATCGTGTTGTAGAAGAGGACAATTATGAGAGAGTTGCTTTGTCTTTTTAAAATTTATTTGTGATAGGTTTCTTTCAAATATGTGTTATCTTTCAGTTACTAGTTCTGTTGTTGCAGTTATAAAGTTTTGTAGTTTCTGTAGGAGGTTTGTTTAGCCCCTATATTACATGAGGAGGAGAAATCCTCGGAATCATAAATGCACACAGTAAGGTAAGCAAAAAGCTTGAACAAAGAATTCAAAAAATACATTTCTGCTCACTTTGCCAAAGTTTTAATTGCTTGGATGAGCAGCTTGGACAGAATCTGATTTCTGAATAATGTGCCATGTGTGACTGCAGTGTAGATACCCTCTGAAACACTACTAGGTGAAAACCCCACAACATTGTGCCCCCAAGTTGTTTTCAAGATAAAGTATTTTGTTTAAATTTTTAACTGTTTTGTTATAGTGCTGTAATGAAATTATATGGATGGGGAGATGGAACCTGAGGGTTTATTGCCTACAGCTGTAGGTAATTAACAGTCTGCTTTTAGACTCTGATTCTAAAAAGTCACTCAGTCATGAAAGGAAGCATCTTGGAAGTCTTTCTACATTTCAATATTTTTCTAAAATTCTTTTCATCGATAAAATGTGTGTATTTGTTTTCTGATTTAATTATTTCCACAGTGGTTAAGTACAACACAACAGAGCCCTAGCTTTAGGTGAGAATTGCTAAAAGAACAAAAGGGATTGATGGTGGAGTTAAAATGCACATTTCAAATGAAATATGTGCCTAATTTTAAGCAGGTGAGTGAAGTTCTTAAACTCCCTGGGACTACTCAGCTGCTTTAAGTTAACCTTGAGTGCTCTGCTGTAGTTCAGTGTAGACCTACAAGTCTACACACCATGACAACTGTCGAGATCCCAGATTTATATAGCACTTTCTATGTATCAGCAGAAAAGAAATTGAATTTTGTTTAATATGTTTTTATATGATTTATATTGAAGTAATTCTGTCAAATTAAATACTTACCAGAAGAAAAATATGCCAGCCCACCAAAGTGCTGAAATGCATAATTGCAAGTAAATCCAAGCAGACACTGAGAAGTTTCTGTGTTCAGTCTGCTGTAGTGGCTGTAGTTTCAGGTTGCAGACCCTTTTTCATCTTGGGGCACTACTGGGGACTCCATGGGCTGGGTCCTGCTTGCTGCCCTCTGCCCCAGAGGAAGGGACAGCAGTGTCCTGCTGGGGCTGAGGCAGTGGGATGTGCCCATGTCTGGGGTTTGCCTCTGCAGGGGGATGCTGCTTTGCAGTGTTGGCTCTCTTGCTGCTGCTGGGCAGATAATGGGACAGGAGAAACTCCTGGCAAGTGCTGGGTGTGGGCAGGTAGAGCATTTACAGGCTGTTGAAATTTAGTAGTTCTGCATTTCAGCTGTTGTTTAAGAGCTAATATATTGTGGAAAATATATTCCGATGTTTTGCTTGATTCTAAAACCAGCTTGGATGACGGTGAGAAATTTTTGGGAGGGAGCTTTGGTCATGAAAGCTTTCAGCTTCCAGTCCAGCAGACACTAATGTGGCAGTAGAGTCCCCAGCTCTACTCCCAGTGCAGTGGGGTGGCATTTCAAGGCAGGGTTTGCTGCAAGCATCCCAGCGAGCTCCTGCCTGCTGCTGGGGCAGCACTGGGATGGGGAGCTGCTGGGGAAAGGGAACTGGAGGCAAGCCTGGGGAGGAGCTGGGGAGCTGCAGGTCCCCAGAGAGGAACACTGAGGGTGCAGGCCCATTGACAAGGGTTGATGTGGCCTGCAAATTAAATGGCAAAAATGCTATATTTGGAGTATGAATGTGCCCTGGCCCATGGACTGGGGAGCACTTGAGTTGCTAGATGCTGCTGTCATTGTTCACAAAAAGGTTTCCTGAAATTCATGTGATTCTACACAGTGGAACTTGCTGTTAGACAGGCACTGCACAGGGAGAGAACAAGCAGTGATTGTATTGGGCTGTGCAGATCCTGTCAGGCTGTTTTAAGTCCGTGCTGTTGGATTTCCTCTCCTGTTCTGTGCCTGCAGGTCAGCTCACACATCTTTCTGGGCTGTGATTAGTTGTGCAACATTTACCAGCTTTTTGGCAGGGGGCATGTGCTTTTACAACGCAAGAACACTTCTTCTTGTGCATTTGCATTCCTAGCTTTGTCTTGTCATTCGTGTCAAAATGTCGAGCAGTGAAACATATGCTTTCAAATGGAGTTTCTGCAAACCATTTGGATCAATAAGGGCTGTCTGTCTGCGTTTTTGTAACATCTACCACAGAGGAATTTGAAGCTCTATCAAGTCAGTGGTTCAGTAAACCATATTTTACTCCAGACTGTAGCTTGTTCATGTTCAGTGACAGAAAAATATCGCTGCTCTGGGCAATGCAGAGGTCTATTGTAAAGCAAATCCTGCTTTTTGGAAAGTAGGTGTTTCATCTTCTGCACACAGCAAATACATGCCATCCTGACAGGCTGGGCCATTAATCCACAGACATGTCAGTTTTGGCTCCTGACAGCTCAATGCAGCTGCTGATCATCCCTGGGCTGCTCTGATGGCTGGTGCAGTCAGTGACTTCAGTTATTGTGAGACAATACCTGAACAGCTTCCAGGGTTTTGGAGAGAAACCACCTGCCTGAGGACAGAAAGAGGGGTTTGGATTGCAGGGAGTGTCTGGCCACATGCTGTAGGAGCACAGAAGGTGAAGGCTCCTCTGTGCCCTGCCTGGTGACATTTGGATGTTGAGGGCTGGAATATCACATCTGGAAAATGGTGGTGGAAGGCAGGACAGGAGAAAGATCTCAAAGCTAGGGAAAGCTGGTACAGGTAAACAGCTGGCTCGACCCCAGAGCAAAACTTCCACCAGGGCATAGGTATTTTGCCGTGAAAAGCCATGAGGTTGCAAAAGAAGAATCCTGAAGTCTCAGCCCGGGTATTAAGAAGCTGGGCAAGTCCCAGACCTTTAGCTGTGAAGCTGCTTAGTTCCACAGTATTAAGTACCATGAAAATATATTAAAGCTTTTATTAAGGACTCAAACAGCACACAGTTAAAAGCACAAAAAATGCAAAGTGTTAAATTAGACTGTCAATTTAATTACTCTTTATCACATAATCCCTTTACCTTGTGGATTGTCAAAGGCAAGCCCTTCTCTGCTTTTCAGGGAAGAATTGCAGAGGTCCTGTGGGGGAGAGGGGAGGAGGGGAATTGGGGAATGTCACACAGGCGTGGAGGCAGAGCTGGGCAGGGGCTGAGAGATGTGGCTGTGGTGGGGCAGACAAGCCTGGCCAGCAGTGAGCCTGGCTCCCCCTTCCCCTTTGGGAGAGCAAGACGTGGCACATTCCAGCTGGGAATTACACCTCCCATGGGCTGGGATCTTGGGCAGTGGGTTCATTTCAGTGGCTGGGACTTTAGGCTTTTTGCCTTGACCTCACACTGTTATAAGAGCAGGCATTAAGACAATTTAAAAAAATTAATGAAGTTTAAAGGATAATTATTTTCCTCACTAATGAAGTGCTTATATTCTCAAAGACAAAAGCCTCTGTATATGTGGAATTTGATGAAAAGATAACAATAAAAAAATACCAGAAAAAAATTTCCTCCTCTGCAGCTTCTATGCTTCTAGATTTTTTTATTGGAATATATTATTTGAAATTTTCTAAAGTTGAGATTTGATCAAAGCTGACAATGGAACTGAAGGTCCTTAATTAATCTAATTAGGAATTGTATATGAGTTTGGTTTTAAAATAGCTGGTCAATATTATATAAGCACCAGTAAAAGTCAAAATGATTGCTTTATGAGTTGCAAATTAGAAGTATTCATAGTTGATAAAGAAACATTAAAATTTCACTTTGCTTTTGTTTTTAAAAGAAGCAGTTAATTGGAAATAATTAGTATTAAATTACTCACCTGGCTTTAGTTATGATGGGTTTATTAAGTCATTATTGAGAGATTGAATGCTGGCACATGTTGATTATATTTAGATGTCACTTGCCTTTGTTTTTTCAAGCACTAGAAAGAAATAACTCAAGTCTTCTGACAGCCAAGAAATAAAAAGGTAAAAGTTAGTGCTATGATGGAGTCAAAGACATTTGAAATCTCCCAACTATTAAATTTCGATGGGACTTATAAGCCAAACTCTACAGAGCCCCTTTGATAGTCTCTGATCAAAGCAGAAGTCGGGTCAACATTATCTTGTGCTGTCACGTCAGATGCATGGATTGAGATTTCCATGGTGTTCCACTCTTTTGGATG